TCCCGGCAGGCTGTTCAGGTCCTCTGATGACCCTGCGACTTGTAACCTCTGCCTGGAACACCTCTCCCTCCAGGCTCCTTGGTGAACTCCTACTCATCCTTCAAAGCCCCGCTTCTGACTACGGCACAGAGATCTAATGGCCCTTCCTCTGGGCTCCCGTAATGCCCTAGATCCACCTCTGCAGTGTATGTGCGTGTGTGTCCGTCTTCCTCCACAGACTGGAAACTTCTTGCAGCCAGGGGCTGGGCTCGAGGACCAGGAGGCCCTCCATGAGTATTTGCTGAACAAAGAAATTGGTTCCCATTTTAACGAGCTCATTAGGGCTCGGACATCTTTGTAGTTGGGAAGGAGGAAAGTTCCTTTTTTCTGGTAACAACCCACCTGTGGGGGATGATATCAGCATCTCCACCTTTCCAGAGCCGAAGGCAGTCAGTCCTGTTAGATCCTGTTGCAGCGGCTGCCTTTTGAAGAAATTAACATGCCTGCTCAACAAGGTGCATTTGAACAGGGGACTCGTCTATTCAGAGCGCCACATGAAACACACGTTACTGCACAACAGAATTAGACCTTTACACAAATTTCCGTGGCTGGTACCCGGCTCCTGGCAGTGATTCAGCCTGGACGGGCCGGGGCTGGCACCTGGGAGGCTCTCTGGAAGGTGCCCCTAATTGAAAGTATGTACTGTGCCAGCCTACCTCTGGACAGCTTGGCCCTCTGGGCTTTGCTGGTAACTGCTTCTGGAAACGTGAAGAGGCAGGCGGGCTGGTGAGCTGGCCAGCACTCACGATTTAACCAGAACCCTTGGTGGGCACCCAGTGCCAAGTCTAGGTAACTGGTGGCTGCAAGGCTTCTGCACACACTGTCCCCAGGGCCTGGGAGGCTGGCTGGCTGCTGAGTGACGTCGGCCACTTCTCTGACACAGGCAGAGCTTAGGGTTCAACACCATCTAGGAGGGGACCTGTAGGTCCTGCGACTGCAGCACGTTCCACCCGTTGATGGGAGCCCTTGCTGGAGGCTGGATCCGAACCCCCGTCTCGCTCACACCCTGGCACCAAAGGACCACTGGCCGGAGCTACGCTGACGGTAACGCGCCGCTCAGCTCCGATTAGCCCAGGCTTCCTGAGGACTCGGCGCCTTTCCCTCCACCTTCCTGGGCAGAGACTGCTCTGTGGGCCTTCTCTCATTTCAGGAGTGGATGCTACATCTGCCAGATTCTTCTGGGACCTCAGATGCCCCGTAGAACCTCGGATCAAGAGGCAGGTGGGCCCTCTCTTCCCCGCAAGCAAGGCCTCCTTTCTTTCAGTGGACGGCATCTTGTTTGGGGGGCTGCAGAAAGGCCCTTGACTGGCAGAGCTCAAGGACAGAGCTGCTGAAGTGGTTGGCGTATTGTAGCCGATAATGAGGCCGGCCGAGGCGGCACCGTACCGTGGCTCCGAGCAGAGAGGCCCATAGTGGCAGGAGGTTTTGTTCCAAGACAAAATGCTAAGGGCGAGAGATTGTGTGGCAGTGAGCTTTTTCTTTTCCTCAAAGAAACCCAGCTCGTTTTTTTCCCCATTAATTGGCAACAGATGAAAAAAAGAAAAAGCAAGCCAAAACAAAAACCAAACCAACTCCAGTAGCCCGACTGCCATGTTTCTGAAAGGGAAAAGCAGTCTCAATTGTTAGCCGTCCAAGCAAACACGAATGCACGCGGGCAGAGGAAACGGCCACAATCAGAGGAAGAGGAGGGAGGTTCGTGAAACGAAGGACAAAATTCCTTTCAGCAGCTCCCATCCTGTAGCGGGTCCTCGGCCGCACCAAGGGCGACAGGAGCGGGCAGGCCGCCCGCGGAGGCTTCAGGAAGATGAAGGGGAGGGAGGGCGCCCCGGGCCAGAGGGCAGAGCAGCCCAGCTTCCTCCGACCACAGCGTGGAGCCTTGCCTCGAGAGAAGCCGCCTCGGAGAACTGTCTGGAGACCCTGCGGCCCCAGGAAGTGCCCTGTGCAGGCCCGGCCTGAGCTTGCCTGTTGGGGGGTGAGGTCGCCCGCCCCCTGACCCCCAGCCTCCAACAGGGCTTCCCTGGCATCCGGCCACCCTTGGCACCTCTGTTTGGACCAAGTGCCAACTCCTCACTCCCACACGGAATCACTGCAGGGTCTCTTGCCTTGAAGGGTGTTTCAGAGAATGTGCAACAGGCAGAGGGTCAGGCTTGGCTCCTCTGGAGACTAGACACAGGTTAGACGGAGCCAAGGGGGGCCCAGCAGCTCGGGCAGGTTGACTTGCCTCACTGGTGGGAGGGGCTCAGGGTGATCTAGCCTAGTCACTGGGGACCAATCACCAAACCAAACTTACTGCCACCGAGTCAGTTCCGACTCATAGCGAACCCCCATTGGGTTTCCAAGGCGGTAAATCTTCGCACAAATAGATTGCCCAGTCTTCCTTCCGAGGAGTGGCTGGTGGGTTTGAACTGCCAACCTTCTGCTTAGCAGTCAAATGCCTTGCCTCACTGATGGGAGGGGCTGGGGGCCTGCTGGACCAAAAACAAGGGCTCAGGATGATCCGGCCTAGTCACTAGGGACTGATCACCAAGGAAATACCATTGATGACTTTGACCAGCGACTGCTGAAACCCACGGTGGCAGCCTAAAGCTGGGCAGTGTCTGGTCTTGCCCCGTGGCAGCTGGCCAGGTGACCTTGGCCAGCGCTTGTCCTCTGGGCCTCCGTCTCCGCCCTGGCAGCTCACGCGCAGCCCCGTGCACGAGGCCCGTGTACGCTGGGACAGCGGTCCCTTCAGACCCCCCGGGCAGGCAGCTGCTGTGTGCTGGGCCAGGCCCTGGGCTGCTGGCACGTCACCGGCAGACGGAGCCATGCGCTTCCTGCTTACTCCTTCCACGTCTGCAGCACGCGTGGAACCGCAGTGGGGTTGGCAGGTGGGCAGGCAAGGAGGGGAGACTGAGTGCTGACAGCTCCCCAACTTTGTTAGCATCGGCCTGCGTGTCGGGGAAGAGTCCCTGCTCCTGCGTGTGTGAGTGTGTGCACGTGTTTAATCTGGGTACAAGTACCAGCACTGTGGGTGACCAGTGGGTCCGTGTCCCGAGACCAGGATTCTGCTGCCTGCGGGCCACGCGAGCCAACGTGAGGCACAAGCCTTCCCTGGGTTTCCCGTCTTGTATGCCTCACGGGATGGCACCGACCGGCTGACTCTGAGGACGGCCCTTTGCAGATGGCCAGGGCTGTGCACCGGAGGGGTCACCTGATGCAGGACGGTGTGACCGCACCCACTGCCGGGGCCTGAACGCAGGGCCTGGCTGCACCTTCCCGCACAGCGACTCTCTGGGCGGAGACAACCCCTCTGGACACTGGGTGCTCCTTGCGTCCCACGCCCCCACCGCTCAGCCCTGTCCCCAGGGTAGACTGCTTGTGGCACCCAGCACCCCTGGGGCCGTACCACCCAGGCTGGAGAGGACACTCTGCCCTGGGGACCAGAAGCAGCAGGCGGTCACCGCCCTGCCGCAGGAGCCCCCGCAGCTCGTATCTATGAAGGACGGGCCAAGAACGTGTATTAAATGACTTTTATTTACACACCCTATTCATAAATAAGTGAAGCCTCTTTCTGACCGCAGATTCCTTGAAGACCTCCTACTGGTTACACTGAGTGACTACGAGTAGATTAGGGTTTATTCACACCTGTGTGCGACCACGTTCTCCCCCTTCCGTGCACACACTCACAGACACACACACACTGGGGGGTGGGGGGACCCGGGCCTGCTGACAGTAGGCTGGGCTCCGGCGCCGGTGGGGCCCCGGCGGTCAACTCTGCCCCGTACACAGGTGTGATGTGGCGGCAGCCGGGGAGCTGTTCTGCTTGTGCGCCTCCTGCCGGCAGCTCTTTGGATTTACAAACATTTGAATCCACAGACGTTCAGGGCGGGGGGCGGGGGCGGGGGCGACGGCGACGTGGTCACCGTCCCGCTGTCCTGATGCGGGCCTTCGCCAGCCCCCACGAGCGGCGACAGCATCCTAGAGACATGCAGTGATGTGCTAGTACCATACACATGACACAGACTGGGCACCTCAGCGACCGGGCCGGCACGGTCGCGGGGGCCTCCGGCTCCAAGTCTCAGCTCTGTCTCAGAGCAGGTGGGGCCGGTCTGCTCACAGGGTCCGCACAGCCACGGGGTAGAGCAGGGACAGGTGCTCGGCCCCTTTGATGGGCAGCTTCCGGGTGGTGTAGTAATGGATGACTTCCGGGACACTGTCGAACGGGGGGCTGTTCTGACCCAGAACATACTTCTCTTTGGTTTTGGCCAGTTTCATGTGCATAAAACCCTGGTTGCTCCTGAGAACAAAACACAGAGGTTATTAAGATGTGCAGGATGGCAGAGGCCAAGGGTGCCACCTCGCTGGGGATGAGGAGGGCAGCCACTCGCCTTGGCTTCACACTAAGTGGCACCGTGCACTCCCGGCCATGCCCCGAGAATGGCCCTTTCACACTGGGCCCACGGCCAAATACCTGCTGATATGCATAGATTTGGTAGCTCTGGGTGCTTTGGGACCTAAGAGACATGCAGCCAAGGAACAGGCAGAGTGGCACCTCCACACCAAGACTAAGCCCCAGGCCCAGCCAAAACACAGCGGCACACTCCAGCATGGACATGCCCAGCACCCAGCACTGCCCCTGAAGCCGGACCCTGACATGGAGGGGCCTCTGGTGCTTCCTCGGGGGAGGAATGAGCCACCTCTTCCTGTCTCTGCTGCTGACACCTGCTTAGGTCTCACTTTGCAGGTACAAGTCCACGGCACCATGATCAGCGGGCAGAGCAGGGTTATCACCTCCAGTCTGTACACGAGGAAACAGTGTGCTAAGGATGAGGGTGAGCTGTCTTTCAACAACTGATACGCCCCCTTCCATAGTAGGGAACTGTCACGGGAAGGGGATACTTGCCCAAGGACTACATTTCCCAGACTCCCTTGCCGCCAGTATAGCCATGTGACTAGTTTTGACCAATGGGGTGTGGGTAGAATGTACCCTCTTACTCAGCTCTGCCCCATACAGGCTCTTTGCCTACAGTGCTCCCTCTTTGCTTGATAAACTCAGCTTCAGTGTTCCTCTACCAGGAAGTCTTCCAGGACTCCCTCAGCAGATCCTCCTTCCTTCCCGACTACACAAGGACACTCACACCTCCATTGGCACACACCTTTCGAGTTGTAATTACTTATCCATTCTCACAGTTCCCGTGAGCTACCAGGGCTGGATCTGGTCTCTGTACTCACCAGGCCAGCTTTGCGTCTGGCTGGGAGGAGACCACCTGAAGCACTGGGGGCGAAAGGGCTGATGGTGCCCGTGGCCTGCAGCCCAACCTGACAAGCATGCTGGGCAGGCGGGGCGCAGCCCTCACGGCTCCTGTCCGCAGCTGCCAGCCGCAGTGGGCCTCTTCCACCTCAAGCCAGGGGTCCAGCCACATCGGACACTCACTTCCCCATCACCCTGCCTTTGCCGAGGCGGCCCTGGCCCTGCCTGCTCGGCTCTTGGCCTTTTCGGATCCTATCACATCCTCTCCTCGCTATCGACAGTTAAGTTCCAAAAGACCAGGTCGTTGTGTGAAAATGGAGGATGACCGCATCATTACATTCCTGACAAGTTTTATCACTGAGAATCAGGGCCCAGCCAAGCTGACAGAACACTGAGCCATCCCAGCTAGTGTTCCTCCAGCCTTGGCGTCCCTCACTGCCAGATGTACGTCGTTAATGTTAAAAATAGACTTTTCACTATTGCTGTGGACGTGAGGCATGGGATCAGACGCAGCCACTAACTGAGGGTGGACTGCTATCCTGCTTTGGCCACCACACTGGATGCTTCAGTTTCTAAAGTGCGATCCAGGCTATTGGATGTCGGTCACTTAGAAAGCTGGGGCTTCTGAGCCCTGGCCCTTCTCCTGTGCCTGTCCCTGGGCTTCCAGAAGGCCAAGGCCACCTCCTGCCCCTCCCCACCCCCGCCTCAGGGTTGGACACACCAAGCTCCTCTTACTGCCTCTGCTGCTCCTGAGGGGTGCTGGAAGCTCGCATGGCACCTCCTGGGGTCCGGGATCCCCAAGCCCCCACCACCCGCTCCATTAGTACGTTAGCTTGGACTCCGCGCCCGTTTTCAAATGGGTAGAACAAACGCTTAATGATGTGCAGGCGCCAAGCATCTGCTCATAATAATGTATTTAGAGATGTCACCCTTGGCTCAAAGGAAATCGTTCGCGGAGCAATTAGGTTTCAAGAGAGAATAATTCCTGTGAAGAATTGAAATTTAAATCAAGATTTTTCAAGGCTGGCAATGTTCTAATTACAGCGCCCGTGGCAAGTTCTGCTCCTCAGTGAAGGGTCATTTCACGGGAGAATTACCTCACTGCCCGAGAAGCAGGAGGCGCACTTGCTTAGGCCACTAAGAAGAAAAAGGGGCGCAGTGAACAAAGAACTTGAAACATCAGTGAGTGAAGTGAAGACGCACCTGCCCGACGTGGGGAGACCGCCACCTGCCCGACGTGGGGGGGCCACAAGTCTGAATCAGCCTGGAAGGGGCTCTGGTGGACCAGAGGAAGCCCAGACAAGCCCACAGGTGTCAGAGCCGAGCTGTGCTCACAGGGATGTCGGCCAATTGCCAGGCCTTCCTTCTGAGGTGCCTGGAAGCCCTCATCTTTGGCTAGCAGCCGAGCTCGGCCTGTTCGCACCACTCCCAGACTCCCAGGAAAACAGCCGAAGAGTTCAAAGCTCTGTTCTCGGAGACCCAGTGCTCGGCGTGCCTGCAGAAGGGGCGCCTGGGGGCGGACTCGGCTGTGCAGCAGGGCGCCGCGACCCTCGGCGCGTCACTCCCCTGTGCGAGTCCACCTTCGTGGTTCTCACCCTCTGACTGCGGTGGCACACGTGTGCCAGGGTTCCTGCCAGCACCCTGGGGAGGACGGTGGGGTGGGGTGCTGTTTAACTGAGGAGGAGGAGGAGGAGGAGAAGAGCCACACAGGAAGGTGACATTTTCACACTGGCTTGTCTTTGAAAGGCATCCAGCAAGGAAGGGGGCAGTGACAGTTAACAATAACTTAGAGCCAACTGACTGCTCCCAGGCTGTGGGCACCAAACGGTCACCAGGGCTACCCACCAACACCTCCGTCTTGCCAGGCCAGGTGCCTCCCGGAGTCACTCCTGACCCTGGTGGTACTGTCTGTCCCTCCCAGACACACCTGATTAAGCTTCCTGACCAGGCCATGCTGAAGGGCCAGGAAATGAGGCTCAGAGACCAAGACAGAGCTGGGACCAGAACTCGGGTGCTATAAGCCCCCAGTCCGCGGCCGCACCGTCCTTCCTCCTGGGCTCACGCATTGCACTCTGCCACTGTCTGGATGCTGGGCCATCCCACGCCTCTCTGGGCTTCAGCCCCTGTCCCCACTGCATCGTGGGCAGGTAACTGGAAGGCTTCTGAGGTCCTGGGTCCCAGGAGATAAGCACGCTCTGTGGCGATGACACAGCCTCGTGCCCTCTGTCCCCTGCTGCCCACTGGACACCAGCTGGGACCACCTTCAGGGCCAAGGTCACACAACAATCAGTAGCCAGGAGGGCCCTTCCCAGAGCCAGTGTCCCTAACCTTGGTACTCTCTGTAGCCAAGAGAAGCCCAGCCTTAACCCTCCACCCCCCATGTGAGGTCAAGCAAGAGGCGACAGACTGCCAGCACACGGCTCCATGTCCGAGCCTCTTCCCCACAGCGTCCACCTGGCAGGGTGGGGGGCAGGTCCAGGAGACAAGGAGCAGCTGTGAGCGAAGGCCAAGCGTGCACACACAGAGAAGGCGCCACTCCAGGGCCCGGGGAGAGCAAGTCTCGACAGAGCGAGCCCGAGTCACCAGCCTTGGGTGGCAGGTGTGGGAACAGCGCCAGTCACGGGTCTGCAGAGGTGAGCAGGCTGTCTTTTCTAGACTGTCTCCTAACCCTCGGCCAGTGCAAAGGCAGCAGCTTCGTCAACACACACCCAAGAGACTGACCCCAGGTCCCTATGAGGGCGAGCCCACCTACCAGTGCTGAAGATGGACAACCAGCTGCCCGGGATGGGCTGAGTGACTCCCGACCAGCAAAGGGCCAGCAGCAGAAGGGGCGAGGACTAAAACGTCTACGGGGACAGAGGCGCCTGGTACCCTGTACCCAGCATCACAGGGGGTTCTGGCTGCTCTGCACGTGGTGTTTCAGAGCTAAAGGAAGATGGGGGCCGCCTGGAACCCCTTTGATGTCTTGGAGGAAACAGGCTGGAGAAGGGAACATCCTGGCCAGGGTGGGCGGGCTCCAGCCGCACCTCCTGCCCTGCCCCTCTGAGGCAGGTCACGCTGCCATCGGCACTGTCACCGTCACCGTGTCTGGGAAGGCCTCCGTCCCCGGGGAGCTCCGACAGGCTGCTGCCAACAGCGTGTCAGCCCATCTCCTTTGATAGGGCATCTTGTGAGAGCAAAGTCACAATTAGGGATGTCTCTGGCGGTGACCCGGCTGATGAGTCTCCTGTGGCGGGCAGAGGCTGGGGGCGGGGCTGCTGTGGCCTTCAGATGGTGCGTCATCATCACAGAAAGACCCCTCCTCCTGGGTCATCAAACACGTCTGGCCAGCACCAGCCTAGTAACAGGCCGCTGCCTCGGGATCGCCGCTTTAGTAACAACAGGCTGGCCCCACCACGAATCGCCGCTTTAATTAACATCCCTTGGCCGGCAGCTGCCACCGGGCCACCAAGGAGCAGGGCTCACCTCTCCCTTTCAGCCCTAATGGCCTGATGCATATTTCATGAAGAATCTAGGGTAACAGTTACGTTAAATCACCTCTTTTCATGATGAAACGAGTTAAAAAATACTCCCATATAATATTTATGCGGGAGAAGGCAGGGAAGGCGCCCTCAGGGGCTGGCACGCAGACCTGGTAGAACATCACAGGTGAGGCGAGTTCTGGTCACCTCCGCTCACAGGTGACCGGAGCTGCTCTCCTGACAGTAACACCCTCGGGACTTTTTGTCTCTCCACTGCCCCCCACTGTCCATTCCGGATTAATGACACACAGTGCTGGGGAGCCCCACTGTGCCCCAGGCACCAGGCTGAGCAATGACTACCTGGTCCCTCATCTGAGCCGCAGAGTCCACTGTTGGCAGATGGGGACACAGAGGCTCAGGGAGGCCTTGTCCCATGAACAAGGCTGGATAGGATTTGAACCCATGTCTCAACCATGGACCCTGTGCTCTCAGCTGGGCACTCAGGCCCTGACGCTGCCACCAGGCTGGCCGTGCTCACACCAGCTCTGGCCTAGGCGTCTAGGAGCCTGTGGGCGATTCTCGCCC